CCCCCACCCACGATGGCTATGCGGAGGTTGGACGGACGTCATACTGATCAGTGAACTGAAGTGCACATATGTTCCCGCTCACCGTATTTATATATCCAGGAAGACCTATGCCTGGTGAGCAGATGCAAGTTATCGTTCAGTGCGCCGAGCTTCCCCACTATCGCCACTGTTAGTCCCACAAGGTGGGGATGCGCACACGTCTGCACGCCAAAGCGCAGTATTGTACTCTGATACACAAGAAGCGGCTGCGCTTCACCCGACACCTACCTTGCCAGGATGCGAAGTTGCGAGCTATGCGCCTGTATCATGACGACAAAGAGTGGCTACAGCGGATTCGCTGCCAACTGACGTAACAGCGAGAAATGTACCCGCCCTGAAACGTGCGTTGCGACCCAGGCGGAACTTCCGAATTCACATCGCGTAAGCCGTGCGGACGTTGTCGGACCGACGCGCGCCTGATCACGTGACGCTCTCGGCGTCTCGAAAGACTTTCTTAGATTTTCCGCAGCTTGAGCTTGAGCTTTGATTTTCGCTAACCTTGCAAAAGAACTGTACATGTGTCCTTTGCCTACCACGGGATGGTCGCTTGGTATATTGGTGTGGGTGTGGTTTGTCTCGAATGCCATTCACAGGCTCATTCTGTGCTACCTGGCAGACCTCTGGCAGTTCTAGGCTCTAGCCCAGCGCGCCGGGCGCACGATGTTCGTATTGTCATGCTTCAAGTCTACTCTGGCAAGGTATGAGCTTTAGCCGTCTCCTCCGCGACATTGATTGGCGATTTTCATACCTGGTAATTTATTCGTGTATTCTTATCCCGTTATAGCTATAACTCTCCCACATGTTTCCGTATTTTGTGCTTCTCGGAGCCATCGGCATTAGCGGTAGCTACCGAACTGAGGTATGTTCTTGATTCTAACGAATACCACCGGGACCCGTGACAACATCTGTGCAATGTAATATTTGCTTCCCGGCGAGTTGCTGGGAGGCGGGGACCCGCGGTGGAGCTGCAGCTGGTTGCGCTACAAGTGGGTGGTAAGCTCCTGGGTGTCAGCGGAAAGTTCGGTCTTTCTGGAATGCAAGTCTTATACCGACGTTAACTGCCTGCTACCAACCAGCCTTTGGCACAAGCACCCCCTGCAGACTAGACAGGATGCCGTTCAGCAATGTCTCCGATATCTTTCTTCCAGAAAATATCTCCGCATTGATAGCATACTTGGCATACAGCGTGCCTCTTGCTCTTCTGCTCTACAGCTTATTTAGCCCTGCTAGCGTGAGTCCTCTTGGATTACGACTGATGATATCAATGCTGAGATATTCTTGCTATTTATGCAGCTTCGCCACATACCCACAGTGGGCGGTTCTTCCCTTCCGTTGTTTTCTTACAAGGGCGCGTACGACCTCTTACTTGATGCTAAGAGCGTTCTGCAACGTGGCTATGACAAGGCAAGGGCTCATGATCAACAGTCCACCAAGCCAATAAGCTTAATAGTATCGTTCTTTCAGCACAAGGGCAAGACGTTCAAGATTCCTTTCACGGACCGCTGGATTGTCGTGGTCACTGGCAAGAAACTTGTTGACGAATTGCAAAGGCTGCCGGATGACGCGGTCTCCTTCATCGACGCCGCTGGCGAGGTACGTTCTTGCCTCGCTCTTAATCGCAACGCTCGAAGCTCTGACATTTACATAGCTCACGGGCCTTATATACATATTTGGCCATCGTATCCACGAGGATCCCTTTCATGTCACTATAATTCGGACCCAGCTTACAAAGCACCTTTCGCCCGTTTTTGTCGACCTTTACGACGAGATAGCTGCAGCATTCGGGGAGCTTGTACCCGGACATGGCAAAGGTTGAACTCCTCGTACTTTCCATATCAATGTGTTGCTAATACTTTATAATACCGAGCAGAATGGATCCCTGTGCATGCCATCAAAGTTGCCAGAAACGTCGTCGCCCGTGCAAGTAACCGTATCTTCATTGGACTTCCCGTGTGTGAGTATCGGCAACTTCTCTTTGCAGCTACAGGATGTTGCTAATTCATAGTGTGATAGGCCGCAATCCGGATTATCTCAGCCTGAATGTCAATTTTACCGTCGACGTAGTCAAGACCAGGAACTTTTTTTTCGCTGTTCCCTCCTCTACTGAAGCCCATCG